GTTGCCGGGGGGGGGGGGGGGGGGGGGGGGGGGGAGTCGTGGTGCACGGTACCTCTGTCTAGCGTCACATCCAGCTCACTAATGTCAGGACCAATGCGCGGCACACCAGCCAGGGCATCCCACTCAGCTCCTGGCAACCAGTGAGGTCAGTGAACTGGGCAGGTTGCTAATTGCACTGAGCAACCTGAGATGTTCTGACCAGAAAGGGGGTGACTGACACACCTGATGCCCTCTCACGTGACCCAATGCGATGCCGCCTGAGACAACCGCCTCATTTTAGGGGCAGCCCTGCTCCAGCTATTGTGGAACTACAAATCATTGCAAGACTCTGACAGCTACAAGCATGACTCCCAGAGGTAGAGGCATGATTGAATTTGTAGTTTCAACACAGCTGGAGCGCCGAGTTTGCTTACATCTCGTCTAGACAGATTACATGTCAAAGTACCCTTAATGAATAGCATTGAATACATAACTGGATGAAGTGACATTTTTGTATCTGCCTGGAGCTCAGCTATAACACTCAACCGTTGTATTTTGTCATAAGAGCCACAAGGGGGCACCAAAGAATCCTGATATAATCTAAGGTCCAAAATTCCTCATCATAAATGTGCGTTGATACAAATCATATCACCGCTTATGTGTTTGGTAACCGATACAGTAAAATATTAAGAACTGCCAGCATACATATAACGAGTCGGTTATTGAATACAGTGGGGCATGTTTAGGAAGAGTGTTGTCATTTTTGTGGCACAGACATCTTCTAGGGCTCATCCACATCTCAGAAATATATTGAATTGGGAATTCTTTGCATCCAAATACATTGCATTGTCCTATTATTAGAGTTTAGTCGGGGGGAGGTGGGGTAGTACATACACCACAAACTGGAACATTAGAACAGCTGCAAAGTGGCAAAATGTCATCCATTGTGTCTGAGTTGCAAATGTTTTATGTCTGCAAGATAGAAGAAGCAAGTTTATATTATATATCTAAAGTTAACCCCGGCAGGGGCGTAACTACAAATAATGGGGTCCCATGAAAAAACACAACTTTGGAGCACCCTGACTGACTCGCTCTATAGCGTCTGGCAATGGCAACTGTGACGATATGTGTCATTGATGGTAACATGAAGTATGTATCAAGGACAGGCAGCTGGAGAGCTGTCAGCATATGGGGGGTAAAACCAGCCTGCTCAAGTCATCCAGTCAATGGGTCCATTGGCCTGATGACATCTGTGTTTTGAAGATCCCACACTGAAGAACCAGGAAGCTCCCATATATACTTGCTGACATCTGGTAAAGTGGGTACAAGCCAGGAGTTTTCATAGTTTACAGCAGGGGTAGGCAAACGTCGGCCCTCCAGCTGCCGTGAAACCTCAAATCCCTTGATGCATCTGCCTCTGAAAGGCATGCTTGTGGCTGTCAAAGTCTTGCAATGCTTAATGGGAGTTGTAGCTGCACCAGAGCTGGAGTGCCGAGGTTGACCGAGGTCGTTACGAAAATTTGTGTTCAGTATACACATATAATACTAAATCTGAGGCTCTTAGACCCGAATGGCTTTTTGGGATCCGAATTTCCGCGCTCCTGAATGCCATTCGGGTCTGGGAGCCTCAGCTTTAGTAATCTCTGTATATACTGCTTCCAGACCCGAATACCTTTCAGGAGCTCCCCAATGCAATTTGGAAATTCAGATCCCGAATGCCATTCGGGTCTGGGGCCTCAGTTAGTAATATATGTAACTATATGGCTCCCAGACCCGAATGGCATTAATGGCATTAATATTCATAAAGTTATCCGAAACTAACGAAAATTCGCATTTCGTCCGAATCCGAAAACCTGAAACAAATTGAATTTCGGATCCGAATCCCGAATTCTGAAATAACGAAATATCCGAACCTAATTTTTCCACAGCTTACATGTCTACCCCCTTCTAATATTCACTAACGCTGGTGAATCCATGAATTGGACGAATCACAGTGCCAGGATAGTGAGATCGCAGGTGGAACAAATCCGATTTGCTGTTCCCTAGCAAACCCATATTTTGATGACAATCGACTTATGGGGCCAACAAATCCATCTCCTTTATAGACATTAATGTCAACGGCAACAATTTCATTCACAGAAGATTAAATCCTCCACTTCCTTCTATTTAGCTTTCTTGTTTACTTTAAGCCTTTTTTTTTTTTTTTACGTGTTAGCAAAATGCCACAGCCTTGCAAAAGTCCCGCAGCATATTGTTTTCAATCCGTGTATGCATTAGCTGCCCTGCCTCACCGCGATATGTTCTTTTTTTGGCTTGTGGGCAATTGTGTTGTTGAATCTGCAAGTTATGAATAATTTGTGCACGGAAGCAAAAGGCCAGCCAGACGACAATGAATATATGTGAGCTATTAGGCCTGCGCAACAGCAATGTGAGACCTCGCCTAATAATACCGCCGAGTGGTCGTGCAATAAATATGCGGTCGTGGAGTAGGACAAACTCCGGTCATTAAACAGGGAACACCGGAGAAGAAATGCAAAAAAAATACATAGAATTGGGAAATCTATCCGTCCAAATTCATCGCTTTGCCTTTTTATAAGTGTTTATAAAGGGAGCTATTCTGGGTGTAGTACACCAGAAAATGGCTAAAAAGTGACAAAATGTCCTCCATTGTTCTGAGTTGGAAATGTTTTACGTATGCCGAAAAAACAAAAATAGCTTTTTTTTTTGTGGAACAAACGGCTTAAATTTAGGAAAACCATGCAAAATGTAATGATAAGCATTTACCCCCCGGCAAGCAGTAAGTGGTCAGCGCTCACCAACGCACAACTTGTATACATGACAGCTATCTCATTCACTGGTAGGGGGACACCAGATTACCTATGCCGGACATTTGAATGTGTCGTAATGCACACTTTGCTGCCCTTGGGGTTCAGGAACACATCTGAAGGGCCCCACAACACTTTGGGTTGTACAGAGCCTTAAAGCTGAAGTTAAAACGGCATTCCCTGGATTCTTCACCCCTTCATCAACTTGATAATGCACTTTTTAAATAAAGCCTTTCAGTTTTCATTACCTAACTTTATACCATACATACCATTATAGACTCAGTTATTGGGTATCTGTGCTTCTCTATACAATGCATCACAGCTGATGGGAGGGGCTGGCGGGGTGCTGTAGATAGCTTCACAGGACCCTGCCTTAGTATTCCTCTCAAGAGCCCTGAGCCATGATGTAAGCAGTGGGCTGGCTCTTGGGAGGAGTTATGCAAATATGAAAATACCTTGATGGGTGGGTGTCAGTCTGGAGGAGTGGGCGTTCCTGGGCTGGCTGTATTTTCATGCAGACCAACCCTAGGTAATGCCTACATGTGATGCTGAGCCTCCATGATTAAGAGAATGATTGAAAGGGGTGGACCAGGGACAGTCAGGTTGGGGAGGAAAGAGCTAGATAGATGAGGCCTCTAGCCAAGAAATGAGACGGGCTCTATCTATCTGCTTCTAAGCCATATCGAGAAATCGACATTGTACAGTGAAATATACTGTGCGTGCGTATATATATATATTAGGGATGCACCGATACCACTTTTTTATATACAGGGGGGGATTTATCAAAACTGGAGCAGACAAAATCTGGAGCAGTAGCCCGTGGAAACCAATCAACTTCTCTCTTCAATTTGCTCAGGTGAGATTTGAAAATAAGAGAGAGAAGCTGATTGGTTGCAGTGCAAATCTTGCTCCAGTTTTGATAAATTTCGCCCACAGTATTTATCAGACAGTAACACTTTATGTATTCTTCAAATCCATGTTCTTTTTATTTAAAGCTGAACTCCGGGATAGGTAAATATTCTCTAAATACAAGAGCCATGTGTATTCTTCTTGAATCTTGGTGAGCTTTGAGTATTTCTACCAGATCTGTGCAATAATCCAGTGTGAAACCTGGAGCTTCCTGTAATAAAGACCAGTCACTGCTGCTCCCTCACCTTCTGCAGGGTGACTGGTCTTGTCTCAGCCCCTTCCTGTAGTTTCTTGTAGTGGGTGGGGCCTGCTGGGAAACTCCCACAGCTCTGCTTTCTGCACAGTCTATGTACAGCACAGTGATGATGTCAGCACAACATCTACAAGGTGATATCTGCATTTCTAAAGGCATTTTGGTGCTCACAATATGGATTTTATAACATTTGTGGCTATTGAGCAATATGTTGAAATGAGAATTTTTGTGCCTGGAGTTCAGCTTTAATAGTTAAGAATTTGATTGTAATGTTCCAATGAATTTTGCGAGTAAAAACAACATAGAACTACAAGTAAATGTCATAAATTATAATCCTTGTTAATTAGAAGTTCTCCTAAATAATTATTTTATTTTTTATTTAATTTTTAATAACGCATTCTAAATTTAGTTTTTAAATCAGAAAATAATTTTAGGCAATCAAATTACACACAAATGTCCCTATTCTGGCACCCTAGGCAATATCCTTGGGGCACACTGTTCAGGACTTACATTTTTTAGGAGTCATTTAATAGGGCGCTACAGAGGGCAGAGACACATGATGACCAATCACAGCGGTGTCTGATCATCAATGTCTATGGGTTACAGCACAAACATATACCTAAAAAAGGCAGGGCATTCTTGTACCGCCATGGCAACCAATTAAATATAAGAATATGCTAGTGCAAACAGAAAAAAAGCAATGTGATTGGTTGTCATGGATGACAGCAGACCAAGGCTGTCTGCATGTCATTTAACATTCTCAACTGGGAGGTATTATGGGCTTTAATGCAAAGAGAATAGTGGTGTTGCTCATGACAACAAATCAGATGTTAGCGTCTACGTTGTAACATTGCAACTGCAATCTGATTAGTTGGTGTAGACAACATTTCAGCTCATGGTTACATTAGTGTTGATTAAAGGGCCAGACCACTAGAAAAATCAGTTGACATGGGCGACATCTCAATCCTACTGTACACTAGCTTTTATCATTGGACCAAACCACTACAAAATGGCAGCTAAGGTCTGATTGGTTGCTTGGTGGAACAAGTCTCATTTGTTGCTGTAGTCAATGTTTCAGCTCTCCTGTGCACTATAGTGTTGATCACTGGGTAAAAATGGCAGCTGACATAGATGACATCTAAATCCCCCTATGTACTAGCTTTTATCACTCGATGAAACCACAAGGGGTCAAAAATGGCAGCTGAGGTCTGTCAGTTGAGATGGGTGGCATCTAAGTCCTCCTGTACACTAGCCTTTATCACTGGACGAAACCATTAAAAATGTCAGTTAAGGTCTAATTGGTTGCTTGGTGGAACAAGTCTAATCTGTTACTGTAGGCAACATTTCCGTTCTCCTGTAGCATTGATCAACAGGTCAAAAATGGCAGCAGAGGTCTGGTGGTTGACATGGGCAACATCTCAGTCCTCCTGTACAATAGCTTTTATAAATGGGCCAAACCATTAGAAAAATGGCAGCTGAGGTTTGATTGGTTGCTAGAGGACATATCTGATTAGCTGCAATGGCCAAGACTTGGCTCTCCTGTACACTAGTGTTGATCAGCAGGCCAAACTATTAGACAAATGGCAGCTGAGGTTTGATTGGTTGCTAGAGAACATAACTGGTAAGCTCCTATGGGCAAGACCTTGGCTCTCCTGTACACTAGTGTTGATCAGCAGTCCAAACCATTAGACAAATAGCAGCTGAGCTGTGATTGGTTGCTAGAGAACATGTCTGGTTAGCTGTTATGGGCAAGACCTTGGCTCTCCTGTACACTAGTGTTGATCGGCAGGCCAAACCATTAGATAAATGGCAGCTGAGGTTAGATTGGTTGCTAGAGAACATGTCTAATTAGCTGCTATGGGCAAGACCTTGGTTGTCGTGTACCTTGGTGTTGATCAGCAGGCCAAATCATTAGGAAAATGGCAACTGAGGTCTGTATGTTGACACAAGTAACAACCTAGTCCTCCTGTACACTAGCTTTAATCAGTGGGCCAAACCATTACAAAAAAGGTTTGATTGGTTGCAAGAGGAACACGTCAGCTCTCCTGCACACTAGCTTATATCAGCGGGCCAAACCATCTTATACCTTTTCCTGTCAGTACATACTCTTAGTGGTGTTTGAAAATGGTGGTAACATGGCTAGACAATGGCGGTTGGTGAGTGCCCTGTGGCAGATCTCTATAGTTACCTAGGTTGCCAGTGCAGAGACAGTTGTGCGTCCGAGGTTGGGGTTTGCTCTGGTGACTGTCGAGTATCTGTTGGACAAGGAGCTCCACAGAAAAACCTGTACTGCTGTTCCCATTGCTGCAGGTCCACTTAATACCATGAACTGCGGAGAGAATATCGGAGGCCACAAGTCAGAAACAGCTTCTATACTGTATGAATTTTTTTTTTTTTTTAAATTTCATACTTTTTATGCTTCTACTGGAAGAGAACCAGTCACAACGGGACTTGGTTAAGAATGTCAATATCCAGTCTTAAATTATTTAAACTGTGCAGGCTTACTAATGAGACACTATTTATAAACAATTTGCAGAGCCACCGGCCCTGCAAATCCCTGTGAATGTTCGTTCTGTGCGAATGGATGCACAAAAAAAACATTCTTAACAATTTCTTTATAAGTTGAATGTATTTTCTAATGTCAACTTATAATAACACATTATAGCCACTAGATGGAGCTGAGGAGCACATTTCAATCAGCTCCATCTAGTGGCAATGGCGTCGTATTGCAAGATGGCATTCCTGAGGAGCATAGCACCTCAGTTCCATCTAGTGGCCATAATGCAGCATTACAAGAATAATACAAAGTTTACAAGTTCAGGCAGCTGACAAAGCAGTCATACTTTAGGTGACCTAACACCCCCTTTATAAGCTGACCACGCACCAGTGCCAGTAGCACACTTACCTTTTCCTATGGGACTGTTCCCTCGCTAACAAGTGAGATTGTACAGTGTTCCATTTGGATAAGTGGTTCCCTTACATGGGTGACTCTACTGCTGATGATGTGTTACTAGATGCAGAATTGCCCGTCTGATATTACCCAAAATGATGGGGCCCATAAAAAAAAACCTTCAAAAGTAAGTTTTATTATTTAAGACTGAATATTAGGACTTAATCGGGAGTGGTTCTGGGCTCTGAGCTATAATAGCAAACAAAGGATAATCTATTTCCAATCAGCCACAAATGCCATCGAGTATGCGTACATTCTTCTCTGTCTATGGCCAGGCACTCCTGGCTTCTGTCACTGTCCTACACCGTGACCACAGGGACTCATATTTTTGAAGCCTGCAAATGTTTTCCCTCCAGAATTACAGCTCTGGTTCCTGACATGAGTCTGAAACCTGCTTGACTTTTCAGTGCCAGCTAAACCCCATCCCTATGTATGTGTAATAAAACTCTACCAGGACCTTCAACGGCACCCATTCCATAAGCTACATAATTCTCCCCTCCTAACTTTTTTGATTTGAATTGCTTGACATTTAAACAGTCTTTTGTACATTATGGAGTAGGCCATGTCAGAGGGTCATTGCAGCAGACAGGAGACATGGTCAATAGGACACACATGTCACTTACCCCTACTCTGCCTTTCTTTTCCATGTCACCAAATTAGGACCTACAATCTCAGCCGGTGTGCTGTGGATGGTGAGACTTTAAGCTGAACTTTAGGCAAACGATTAAATACCCATCTTGGCCATCTCCCTGCCACCAGCCTGTGATTGGTCAATGAAGGAGCAGCAGCAGGCTGTTGAACTAATTCCTCTGCTCACTCTGCTCTCTCCTCCTGTATTGTCAGAATGTGTATACTGCAGTGCATATCGTTGGCTCCTAGTGTTGCCCCTCCCTGTACCAGCCTGACCTCTTTGGTATGGAAATTTCAGGAGTCTAATAGCAAGTGAAATTTAGATACCTACACTAGTTGCATTAAACATGCAATAAATTATATTTTATTTAATACATAACAGCATTAATTGTTTTTTTTTTTCAAGTTCAGCTTTTACAGAAAAGAATAAGGTCCCATTCACATGGGGACATATGCTGCGTTCTGGAATTCCTGCAGCAAGAACCTACAGGTTCCTGCAGTAGGAATCCCAGGTGTCGTGGTTGTGATGCAGCCGCTGTACCCATTGAAGTGAATGACAGCAGTAGTCCACATGTAATCGTACATCAGGATAGATGATTGTACCTGAACATAGAATAGATGCATCCAGGGCCAATCATCTATCCCAAACTGCGGACTGCCGTTGAGAAATGTGGCTGCTGTCACCCCGTCTTTATCTTCAATGGGTACAGCAGCCGCTTCTCAACTGGGGCACCTGGGATTCCTGCCGCAGTTATCCTAGAACCCCCCCATGTGCATTAAAGTGCCCATGGATTTAAGTGTAAGTTTGGCTGTGTCAGCACAAAATGACTGTCCACCCTTAGTCATTGCTCTTGGCTGCCAGCTGTCCTAGGAAGAACCGTTGGTGCTACTGAGCATTCATGCTTATGTCTATGCAGACGGATGGTGGAAGATGGGTCTTGCCACTGGTTTTATGGTCGACACAATTCTGATTTGAGTGTTTAATCAATCTAACTAATCGAGCAGTCAGTGGGCACTCGACTCATAGACATGGGGCAACTCTCATCTCATGTCTAAGGGCAAACGCATATTAGGGACATCACGTACTTACAGGCGCCACCGTTTAAAAAAATGTGTTCAGTTACATTTTCACCAAGTTGTCTCTGTCAAGGGTAATACACCATAGATACGACACATGCCACAACACAAATGGCTTGACTTGGCTAAAATAGACAGCAGCCTGAAACATTTTGTCGAAGAAGCATTAGGACCCACGCTCAGGGTGCAGCAATCCCTAATTACAAGCCTGATGTCCTCACCACCTTACACTTCAGGCATCTGGTTACGTGTCAAACAGAAAGACTTGTAGCCTTGTCAGAGCTCTAGCAGGCCTGCTAAGATCTGCTACTACCGTGACCCCTGACGGCCGTAGCAGGCTCATAGCACCATTGTCATTACTGTCCAGACAGCTGGGAACTACCCTCTGTAATGTCCCTGTCATCATTGAGCTGGTGTAACCTTGGCCACAGCGGCACATCAGACCTGACACGTGTAGCTCCATTACACTCACGTTACTTGTATAAGAAAGCAGATGACAGCACTACACTCAGATAGTGTTTCTGCTGCCCGGCAAGGATAAAGATAGATAAAGATAAATAGATAGATAGATGGAATCCAAATGTTGGTTCTATCTATCTGCAATCTACTAATGTGCTTAAATATGACTGAAGCCTGGGCCAATAGCTATGTTCTTGCTTGCTCCAGCTCCGATAAATTCAGTCCCTTGGTAAACAGTTTTCATAATACAGAACTGGTGCAGCGATATTATGAATAAGACTGGTTACCCATTCCTGGCTGGCCCATAGTCCGGGCTTGATTGAAAGGTTTACCTACACAGGACTGGGAGCTTTTATCTTCCCACTCACAAATAATTTGTCATAATGGCCTGTGGATGCTGCGCCGTGCTGTCTTGCCAGCGAAGACTGGGCCGCCTGTAATGCTCTTGGTGGAAGAGGGTTAATGAATCATGGAGGACATAATTTATGTTCTGGTAATGTCATTTCTCAACGTCAAGTGCGGCTTGCTGGGAAATTATCTAAATTCACTGAAGATTAGGTGATACATATTCCCTGCACTAGTCCCGCTCTTAGGAGACGCAGCCAAATCGCAAACTTAAAGTGTATGTATAGCCAAATTTTTTTTTTGTATCGAATAGAGTAGAGAACAGCTACTACAGCTGATACCTAGTCAGTTTCTTTTTTTGCTGTCTGTGTCCTGCTGGGGAGATTTCCCTTTACTTCCTGGCTTGAAGACCCAAACAGATCTCCCAAAAGCCCTCAGACCTTATGTAAGCAAAACAGATGGCTCTTGGGAGGAAATATGCAAATATCAGAAGGCCTTGAGGAGTGGGCGTCAGCCTGATTGCATGAAGATCACCCAAGATAACAGCCACATATGATGATGAGTCTTCATGAATGAATGAACTGAAATCCAATGAATGACAGTGATGGGCTAGGTGGTGGGACAGTAAGAATGGTGCTAGAGGATGCTGAACGTCGTCCATCCAAGATATGAGGCGGCTGTATCTGACTTGCTGCAGCATCTAATGCACATTGCGAGAAACTCAGTGTATACAGTGAAATCAGAGTAAGCAACTTCAGTCTAGGAGAGGAGCCGATACAACCATGCAAGACTGAAGGGAAGGCCGGAGTTCAGTTTTAAACAATGGGTCAGAGTTGTAAAACAGCCATGTGTTTTTTTTTTTTTTACACATTTTTTAAGTTAATTTGGTTCAGCAAAATCCTTAGACTCATCCCTATTGTTGAGGCTTTAGAAGATTCCCCACTGTAAGTGGTACTTGGACTCCTCTGGACAGAGGGAAATGTTTAGAGACCCAAACACAACACAAGGATTTCTTCCATGTACCAGAAGGGGATTGAATACAGGTCCCCCTAGGTCCCCTCTCCCGATCTCTGATCCATGACAGAAATCTAAGGTTATAGACAGGAAGTAAAATCCTGATAGTCTTCGTGGTGGATCATTCACAGTTAGGACCATGGCTGCTCACCCAATATTCTGTTCTAGAGTTCTGGCTCATTATAATGGACTCGTGGAAGGAGGCAGGGAAGGAAGAAAAGAAGGAAGGAAAAAAAGAAGGAAGAAAGGAAGAAACAAAGAAGAGAAGGAAGAAATAAAGAAATAAGGAAGAGCAGGAAGGAGGGAAGGGATGAAGACACAAAGAGAAGGAAGGAACTAAGAAGAGAAGGACGGAGGGAACAAATGAAGAAACGAATAAGAGGGGGAAGGGGAAGGAAGGAATACAGGAAGAAAGGAAGGAAGAAACAAAGAGAAGGAAGGAAGGAAATTAATGAAGAAACTATGAAAAGAAGGAAGGAAGGAGGGAAGGAATTAATGAAGAAACTAAGAAGAGAAGGAAGGAAGGGGGAAGGAAGGAGGGAATACAGAAATAAGGGAACGAAGAAAGAAACAAAGAAGAGAAGGAAGGTAGGAGGAACAGAATGAAGAAACTAAGAAGGGAAGGAGGGAAGAAAGGAAGAAATGAAAGGAAGAAGGTAAGAAAGGAATGACGGAAGGAGAGATTGAAGAAAGGAAACATAGAAGGAAAGGAAAGAAGAGAAAAAGTAGAGAAGAGAAAGGGTAAAAAAGAAAAGAAGGAAGGAGGTAAGAAAGGAGGATACAAAAAGGTAATAAAGAAGAGAAGGAAGGAAGGAGAAAAGGAAAATGGAGGGAGGGTAGTAAAGAAAGAAAGG